TCCTTCCTTCCTTCCTTCCTTCCTTCCTTCCTTCCTTCCTTCCTTCCCCTCTTTCTCTCTTCCTCTCTTCCTCTATTCTTTTCTGTGTTGTGATTCATCCAGGGCCTTGCCCATGCTGGACAAGGCTGAGGCTATAAACTAGGCTGAGTTGTAAAGCCTGCCAAGGAGTCATGCCTTCAAGCCCTCCCATTTCCCCAAGAACACAAGGAAGGTGGTCCTTAGTTAAGGAGGGATGACAACAGGGTGCCAACGTCCAGAGGACCGAGAAGATTGAGACAGACTGCTAGCAGAGTGAGCTGGTGAGAAGCAGAGGGTGGTGAGGGCCACCAAGGCTCCGGTTCTAATGACGCTAGTCCAGGGGCTACACACAGAGCGGCTGACCAGTTGGACGGAGCCAGGCTTGGGAGGCCCGGTGGAGGAGGGGCAGGTCTGACACATTGACAGACTCTGGAACCCTGGGAAAGGACTGGGGTGGTATGGGCTGTAGTTGTGCTGGCTCCACAAACCATGGGTAGTCAGAATTCTGGAGGAGAAAGAGAACGGGGGGGGGAGGGGGGGTTTGAGGGGGAGGAAGAGGGCGGGGCCGAGAAAGAGGGCGGGGCTAAGAAAGAGGGCCACAGATGTTACTGCAATTGTAATTGAGGTTTGAGGAGTTCTCTGCCCAGAGGATACAACACGGAAGTGAGGGACAAGGAGTCCAGAAGTTTCCACGGGTCCCCCAGTAGATGCTGACGCTGACCAGGAATGTTCAGAGTCATCTGAGGACAAACAGGGGTCAAAGGGCCAAGACCTTAGGTAGACAAGGAGAAGCAGCGGCGAGAGCGCCAACAGTAAGCTTGATACTGGACTTGGCGTGAGGTCACGGCTCATCTTTCATCAGAGCAAGGATTCTGAGGAAGGGGGAAGGTGTGGTGTAGGACGGTGACAAGGCTGGAAGGGAAGTAGAAAAGCAAAAGCGGGTGAGCAAGGGATTTGACAGCCCATGAGCCAAGCGAGAGCGATGCTGGCTGCTGTAACAGCTGGACTCCCCTGCAGGGACTCCGCTTGCTTACCTGCTTCCTAGGGCTCCATAAGTGGGAAGCCAGCCTCCTGCAGCACAGGGCAGGAAGCATTCCCTAGCACGAGAGGGGGATGGAAGGTGTGTCCAGGTCAGGTCTAGAAGCAGCCAAACTCTTTCAGCTCACATTCTAGGTCTTCTGCAGCCACAGCTACCAGCAAAAGAGGCTGGGGTGCAGAAGAATGACCATCAGCCAGTGGCCTCTGCCACTCTGCAAGTACTGAAGAAAATCCCTAAAGCAGGGTGCCCAACCTGAGAAGACTTAGACCCAAGATATCCATTCAAATCCTCAAAGAGGCTGCCTAGGAAACAGAGGTTCCTTCATTTTGTAGGTCAAGCAAACCCTTTCATAGGAGAACTAGAAAGAAAGGAGGACAAACACTCCTCAGTTGCCTACACTGTGTGGCTTTAGAGCTGACAGGCCTACCTCCTGGGTGATCCCTTAGGTCTGGGCAAACTGGGACAGCTGGTCACCTAGCTTGGGTGATTTCAATCCATACAAGGGCGCCTATGGTAAGCATTAACTAGGGCCTTTGGAACCCCTCAGTCATTCTGGCATGAGTTACAAGACCAATGATCATGAGTTCAGAGTCAATGAACCAACAGAACATATTAAATAATATGTCTTTAAAGAAAAATATACATGAAACAAGGAACTAGGTGTTGTATTGATCAATTGTTACAGTTTGAGTGTGAAATGTCCCCCATGAGCCCATGCGTTTGAATGTTAGGTCCTCAGATGGTGACACGGTTTTTTGGGGGGGGGGGTGTAGGATCCTGGGTTTTCCCCCCTGCTCCTTGAGGCGCAAATTGCAAGGACTGTTTATGTTAGCCAGCCAAGCTTCCTGCTAATTTCTGTGCTAGCTCCACTTTTAGCCTGGTGATCTAGCTGTAGGCTTTGTTAAACCTTTGGAATGGTAATTTCCCACCTGCCCAGAAGAGTTCCCATGGCGCCTTATCCCCTCTCAACTGTCTGTCACGGCCCTCAGCCCACCGCCCCCTGCCTGGGAGGAATTTCTCACACAGCACCAGGTTGTTCGAGCCTGGCTTCCCCATCTGGCTGGGAGGGGATCTCCTTTATTGGGGCAAAGTATATTAACCTGGCAGAAAGCTAAATAAAATTGGCATTCGGCTCTTGATGAATGACCCAGGTCTCTTTGTGTGTGTGTGTCTCTGTTCAATCCCCAGGACTTCGCCCAAACTCGTGAGGGGTACGGGAGGCGCGCAAACTGTACCGGGAGAGGGAGGCACAGATTCGGGTGGAATGGGGGGGGGGTTGGAACCTTTAGGAGCTGGGTCCTGACTGGAGGAAGTGGGTCTTGGGGTGCCCTGTTTCTGCTTCCTGTTCTACAGAAATATGAGATGAGGCATCCCATGCTGCCATGGCTTCCTCATCATGATGGACTGTGCCCCTTAGCACCATAAGCCTTACTATATCCTCCCTCTCTCAACTTGTGTCTTGTCAGACATCTGTCTGTAGCAAGGAGAAAGTATAGGTTGGTAAAAATCTTGTCCCTAGGAATGTTCAGGAAACTGATTGCATTTCCATGTGCAAGGTGACATTATAAAACTAAACAAAAATAAGGAAAATCAACTGTATGTCTCCACAGTGGAATTTTTTTTTTACATCAAAAGGAATGAAATGGTGATATATTTACCACAGGGATGACAGATGTATAGATGATAGACAGATAGATGATAGACAGACAGATCAATATACTTTCATGCTAAGTGAAAAAAAATGGTGACAAAAGCCCACGTAGTATGTGATTCAATTTATGTGAACTTGAATGTAGATACAGAAAGTCGATTAGTGACTTCCCAGGGTTGGTGTGGCAGCGGAGATAGTTAGGGAGCAGTAGCTAAAGGGTACAGAATTTATTTCTGGGTTGACAACCCTAAAATTGATGGTTGCTGTATCTGTGAACCGACTACTGGGCACCCCTGGTACGCATGCCTGGCCATTCCTAGGCATCTCCTCACTGGTCTGCTAAGCCCTGCATACTTTCTTCAGGGAACCTGGCAATTAGTGAAAGACCTGCCCAAAGCAGCATAGACAGCCAGGAAGGAGGGGACGCCTCTACTTTCTCCCTAGCGTTCAAGCACAGTTCGGAAGTTTCAGAGGGAGATGGCAGGAACTGGGTGGCAGTACCAAGTGGTGGAGCCACTGCGCTAGATAACAGGACTGTTAAGGTTGTCATTAACCCATCCGAAATGCTTTTGGCCAGGAAGGAGAGGTAAGCAGCTCATGTGGCCGGGAGCCCAGAGGTGGCCGCCTAGGATGGGCCGGGTGACCAGCTCTTCCATCCTCAGCACCCACAGTCATCCCACACGTCACACCAGGGCCTGCAGCAGCATAGGATACTGCTCTGCTCCAGGGTCACCTCGCATCACAGACGCATCTGTAGCGGGACCATGTAGAGAGAAGGCTCCCTCTCTGAAGGGAAAGACGACACTTCCCCAGAAGCCCCATTCACTGATGTCTCCAGAGTCTCATTGGTCACAAGCCTTGTCATGGCTCAGTCGTGGGATGGCAGTGATTGTTAGGTCAGACAAACTGCATCCTGTGAGGCTGGAATTATGGGACTGGCAGGGGAAGGAGAGAAGGGGGCAGCAATCGGGTGTGCTGTGATGGGTGTGGGGAAGTACCAAAGAAAGGAACTACTCTTTTGAGACAGGGTTTAGTAAGTAGTCCAGGTAACCTCATTATATAGCTTGGACTGGCCTGAAAATTAAGGCCCCCACCCCAGTTGTTCAAGTTCTGAATTATAAGCATATGCCACCACACCTAGCTCAGAAAAAACATTTTTTTCCCTGACATCTTGTAGAACCCCCAGAAAAGGACTTAGGTGTTTATCACCTAAGTGATCACCGCTGTGAAGCCAGTCACTAGTGCCCCCAACACCCCCAGCCTGAATGAAGAACGGGGTACCTTCCCCGCCCACTGAGCACTCACTGGTCTGATGAAGCTTTCCTCAGAAACGTACCCACCTTGAGGTCTGCTCCTTCACGCCACCCTCCCTTGGAAGGTTCCAGGCGTATGGGAAGCAATCTGAGAATGATCTGTTCGTGTTGGCATGGCTGTATGGTGGCCCAAGTCCGGAGCCCCATGCTCCTGTTAGGACTAGTCAGTACCTTCCACGAAGGTGTTGTACAGACCACGTTCCCCCCCCCCCCC